ATGTGTGTGTATATATATATATATATATATGTGTGTGTGTGTGTGTGTGTGTGTGTTTTTGTTTGTTTGTTTTGTTTTTTTGAGACAGAGTCTCACTGTATAGTTGAGACTGACCTGGAACTCACTGTGTATTTTAGCCCAGGCTGGTCTCGAACTCACAGCGATCCTCCTGCCTCAGTGTCCTGAGTGCTGGGATTACAGGCATGCATCACCACTCCTGGCCTTATTTATATATTTTTAAAATAAAGCTTTTATTGATACCCCTGTGCTCCGCACTCCCCGCACCCATACCAGGGATTGAACTCAGGACCTTGAGCTTGTGAGGCAGGCACCATTGAGCTAAATCCCCACCCTTATTGGTACATTTTAGGCATACATAAGATAACATTCATTATAGGGAATTTGCACCTGTACATGATACATCTCTCCTCTTTTTTCCTATTCCCCTTCCTTTCAAGTGCCCTCCCCTCCCACCCATGTACAAAAGCTTTTTTCCATTTTTTCCTTCTGTTTTCTCTTCTTTTCTTATCCCTTCCTTCCTTTCTCCCTCTATCCTCCTCTGTTCCCCTTCCCATTAGAATATTTTCTTCCCTTTTCCCAATATCTGTTATACATTTTAGTCCTTATTTCTACTTTCACACCAGAGGTTTTTCACACCAGAGAAACAATGAGGTATTTAAACATAAACATAAACTTTTAAAAACTTGATTATATTAATTTATTGTCCATAAAGCCTACTTATGTTCCCAAATCCGAAAATTATTATCACTTGATAATATATTACTTGGAAATAAGATACTTCACATTATTTTCTCTCTCCCCTCCCTTCGTCCCTCTTTTGGTGTTTTGAGTCAGATCTTGCTATGTAATTTAGGTTGGCCTTAAGTCACAGCAGTCCTCCTGCCTCAGCCTTTTGAGTGCTTGGACTACAGGCATGTGCCACCATGCCCAGCTAATAATTTCCAAATAGAATATAAAATCTTTCAGAACTAGATTTTGGTTAGATATTTTTTGAACTCAGTTAAGCATTGGAAAGTGTCTACAAAGTGGCAGAATTTAATCTTGTCTTATGTGGAATTTGTGTAGTCTAGTGGGACAATTAGAATTTAATAAGTGGGCTGGGGATTTAGATCCGTAGTGCCACTACCTGCCCCGTAAGCGCGAGGTCCTGAGTTTGATCCCTGGCACCAAAAAATTAAAATAAAAAATAAAAGAAGTTAGGAAGTCACCAAATAAATAAGTAAATACCCAGTTTGAAAATGAAGTATTCTAGGCCAGGGATTAGCTCAGTGGTTCCACCACCTGCCTCATAAGCACAAGGTCCCAAGTTCTAGCCCTGGTACCACCCCAAAAAAAGAAGATGAAGTATTCTGAAGGAGTTGTTGTGGGTACAAATGAAAAGATTCTTGTCAAGCCTGATAGCTTAAGGAAAGTCTTACGTGAAGAAGTTATCATTGAGCACGCCTGTAATCCCAGCACTCAGGAGGCTGAGGCAGGAGGATTGCTGTGAGTTTGAGACCTGCCTGGGCTACATAGTGAGTTCCAGGTCAGTCTCAAATACATAGTGAGACCCTGTC